GGGGGCGGGGGGGGGGGGGGGGCATTAATTTTCAGAATAGGGTGTTCTGGTATCGCGGACAGCAGTCTCAGCGACAGAGTTTTTGAACTCAGAAGACATTCGCACTAAAAGGCCTCAATAATTCGGATGGGCATTTGGCTGGCGTATATCAGAGTATATGTTCTTTAAAAGACTTATCGGCATGATATGACATGGTATGAAATGATAAGGTATGATGTGATACGACATGGTATGATGTGGTATGATATGTTACGATCTGATATGATATGCTATGATATGATATNNTGGTATTGTATGGTATTGTATGGTATGATACGGTATGGTATGGCATGGTGTGACATGAGATGTCGATAATTACATATAGGCCGCGAAGCTAAGAGCTTATTCGCGCTGGGCGGGAAAGTTGTCAGCAGCGGCAGAAACGAGTTCTATGCTTCCCAGCTCTGCAAATGAATCCCATATGAAATATCTCGAAGACTCGAAACACTAGCCCTAAATCGTAGAACTTTTGAAAGAAACGGCATTCTGCAGAGTCCATCCCTAAACCCTAAACCCTAAACCCATGCATCTGGAGCCAGACATGAGAGTAGTCTGCACTCTCCATCTGCCCAACTCCCTGAAATACTCTGAGGCCACTGGCCCTGAAGGACGCCGTCACCTGCTAAACCACAACAAGCGGTTTAGAACCCTAAATTATGCAGAACCTACAACTTAAATCCAAAGCCCTCATGCCCTAAGCCTTTACCTTTAACGCCCCCCTGACCTCCCCAAACCCTCAACCCGACCGTACCACGGACCTGAAACCCATTAAAGGCCTAAGCCCCTCAAACTGAGCTGCAGCCGAAAAGCATGCACTTAATGCCCATGTGCCAGTCTTCCGAGATCCACCTCAATGGCTTGAGCTTAGGTCTTTGGGCTTATAGGGCTTTTAGGGTTTGGGGTTTATAGGGCTTCTGCTCCCGAAACCCTAAACCCCAAAAACCCTGAACCCTAAACCCTAAAAACCCTAAAAACCCTAAACCCAAAAAACGCTGAACCCTAAATCCTAAAAACCCTAAAAACCCTAAAAACCCTACAAACCCTAAAAACCCTAAAACCCCTAAACCCTAATCCGCCAGGGCCGATAGGGTTTATAGGGTTCAAGGGGGTTTACCGGGTTTAGACAATGACTCTAAAGACCCCTCCCCTCTTCCATCCGATAGAGCTTCGGGCTTTGTGCAGGCTCAGGGTTTAGGGTTTAGGGTTTAGGGGTTTAGGGGTTTAGGGGTTTAGGGTTTGGGGTTTAGGGTTTAGGGTTTAAGGGTGTAGGGTTTAGGGTTGCGCAGGCTCAGGGCTTAATGCAAGGGCCTTTTTCATTAGACTAGGGTTTTGGGGTTCCTTCTTGTAGTTGTAGTAGAATGTACCCCGAACCCTATTCTAATTAGAAAAGGCCCAAAGATTGGGACCCCAAAACCGTAAACCCTAAACCCTATATGGAGTTTAGGATTTTGGGTTTGAGGGTTTGGGGTGTCAAGGCTTCGGGTTTGAGGGTGTAGGGTTTACGGTTTAGGGTTATAGGATCTACCGCAAATCACAGAAGCCTGAAAGATCGGAAAGTCCGTGATTTCTCCCAGATGTCTTGTGTGAAGTAGAGTTCCCCCTGCACAAGAAACAAAAAGCGCATGCTATTCGATGATGCCAGCCCCGATGCTCGTCCTAGTAGATCGTCCCACTACTAAAGCCACACACACCTAGTGGTATCCCGAAATAAAACCCGATTCGAGCCTTGCTAGGTGCCGAAACCCCAGAGCCTAACACCCCAAAGCTCTCTACGGTCTCTACGTGTAACCCGAAACAAGCAACCTAAACCCTGGATGTTGTAGAACCCTTGAAGGTACCTAAACCCCAAACCCTAAACCCTAAAACCCGAATCCCCTAAACCCTAAACCCTAAACCCTAAAGCCTAACTCTTGTCGGAACGTTTTAAGAAAGGCTTTCAAGGACCTAGCAATCGGCTTGACGAGTCGCTCCGGGTCCCATCCACCGACGCCCCTGGCCAACTCCAACGGCAAAGAATACGTCGAATACCTCTTTGGGGGTTTGTAGGGTTTAGAGCGTTTGGGGTTTAGGGGTCTTCAGGTTTTTGTTGGGGATTTTGAAAAGGAACTCTGATGTGTTTTGTTGGGCTTTTCGGGACCTGCAGGGGGGTTCTATAAGCTTCTCTGAAAAAAGGGCTCCCCAGCAAGGGCTTCGAATCGGGTGTTGTGGAGATTCTTGAAGATGTGCCAGAAAGGCTCTAGAATCTAGAATACGGCTTCGGGTTTTTGGTTCCGGGATTTAGGGCTTCAGGGCTTTGGGTCGAGGTCTACGGGGTTTAGGGGCCATTGGGTTGCCATGGGGGTTTCGGCATGGGTGGGCAGGAAGAAAGCGTAGGGCCAAAACTTTGCCAACGCATAGAGGTGTAGGGTTCAAGCCGCACCGGAACGTTTTCTCATAATAAAGCTCACAACACACCTAGGTAATCCGTGAGTTTTGCAGGGTAGATGAGACGATCAGCAAACGGTGCGAACTGCAAGGACAGTTGACATCCAGCTGGGCCTTTGCCGTGGAAGTCTAGACTTCCTGTCATCTAAACCCCGAGCCCTGCTCCTCAATCACAACCAGTCCTCACGTGTCGATGAGCGACAAAAACATTTTTGAATTTTAATTATGACCTGAAGTGTCTGAAACACCAAGCCAATTAGCATAACCCTGGAACCACACCAAGACTATGACACCACCCTCCATGTGAGACAAGCATCGGGAAGGCAACGGAATTGGGATCTGCGTGCACGGCCAACTCGTTCATACTCGTGAACAAAGTGCCCACCTGCCGCAAAGCAGCTTGCTTTACCCCGCCACGTAGCTCCCTCCAAACCTGCATAATCCCTGAAGGCTTAAACATCCTGGACCATCCTAAACCCTAAACCCTACGCTCCACATCCCAAGACCTGTGCACTAACCACAAATCCCGAACAGACCCAACATCGTAATGTAGGGGCCTTAACAAGTAGAATAGGGTTTGGGGGTAAATTACACTATGCAACCCCCAAAACCCTACTCTAATCCCCATTAGCGGCATTCTAAGACTTCGAGTTGAGCCGAAACCCGACCTCAACCCCCCACTTGCGTTCCAAGGAACATCCCCTTTAGGGCTTCAGGGGTTGAGTGCTCCGGGCCCCTCAACCCTCAACCCTAAACC